AAAACATCCAACTTGTGGAGAGTGCTTATGCCCTATTGCTTTTCTATGAAAAGAACTGGATTGGATAGAAGTCATCAAAGCTAATAACTTCATCAGAGAAGGAGTGTTTGGTTTGAGAAGACTGACCTGACCCTGGATTTACGGTAAGTTTGTAACAATTTCTTATTTTTTAACTCATCAGAGGGGGACCCTTGATCCAAAAAGACCAAGAACAATCCATTGTTAAACGTACATATATATTTTTTATTTTTAGCATTAGAATGTCCCCCAAGGATAAAATTAACAGAATATGAAGATTGATGGAGGGGTGAGTGGAAGGGAGATAGTAATCACAGAAGACACCAAGGTATAGATAGATTTAGAGTTAATGGTTGTTGCATATTATTCTCTACATTAATGCATGTTACAGCTTATTGTATATTAAATACAAGGACTACTTACGTCACCCAGACCACTTTATCTCAATGAAGGGGTATAGGTGCAGTATCCCTGTAGTTTTAACCCAGCAATGTAAAACATTATAGTTTTATAGAAATTGCAATACTTATATTTCAGAGTTAAACATACCTCTAGTGGCTTTCTTCCTGACAGCCACTAAAGGCGCTGATCCACGTGCATCTCGTCCCCTATGAGGTGGATTGTATTGGACAAGAAGGCAGAGGTGCAGATGGTCCCCGGAGCTGGGGGAAAAAAATATTTTTTCTATCTTTTTATTTTTTTAGAGGTTAATTGGAGGCCTGAATCTAACTAGGCACTAGGACACTATAGAATTAGGGATCCATGTTTGCATTCTTAACACTATGGTGTTCCTTTAAGGGAAAATTAGTTTGTAAAAATCCACTATTTAGATCTTGGAGACCAAACTTTATTACCAACTTTTCTCATTATTATTATTTTTAGAGATGTACAAGCCAGAGTAAAACCAGACCACATTCCAGAAGATCGACAGGTATGCATAGAATTTCTGATGGTTTGCAATGTGTACCAAATCTAATATGAAATCCCAGTTCAACTAGTTACCATATGTAATATGTCTGTCCCAATATATCAAGTCTACAAAATTGAGTTTTCTGTGCAGAGTGAGAAATAACAATATCTTGTTTTGTGGCTGGCGCCGAAAGCAGAAATACCTTTAACATAAATATTTGGAATTTTTTTGTTACTCTGTATTTGTTGTGTAAAGTGATTAATGTTTAAATTCTGGGTAATAATTTGGATAATATTTTTATTATATTTTATATTAGATCAATGCATAGATACTAAACATGACTTTAAAGATACCTTATCAGCCACTTCACTACCAATAAAATAATGTGTACACAAGTATCAGACATTGTATATACATGATTGTCACCATTGAAAATTAAATTTGTTTATTGCAAATAAATGCAATTTGCTAAATATGCCCATTATAATTATCATTTACAAAGACCTCAGCTGGCACGTTCATCCAACAAATGCTAAGTTTCGATTAATTTGAAGACTTAGATCTTTTTTTATGGGCAGAAAAAGGGATAGTATATATCAGAGATCTATTAGAAGTCAAGGATATAAAAACATTGACTAACCTACAATCAGAATATAGATTACACAAAAATGAAACTTTTAAATATCTGAGAGTAAAAGGCATTTTTAATAAATATGTAAATAGAAATGATATGACTACTGAAAGACAGCTTTTGAAAAACATGATTCAGCAGAAAGATTATAAAAAACTGATGATAAAATGCCATCACTTGTTAGAAAAGTTAAGGATAGATCATGCCCCGACAGCAATTAAAAAATGGGAAAAAGAACTTAAATTGCCTATTCTACAGTCAGACTGGAATCACTCTTTGAAATTATTATATCGAGCTATCCACTGTTGAAATCTTAATGGATTGCAATTTAAGTTAATGAATAGATGGCACCTGGTACCACCTAGTATTGCCAGAATGTATCCAAATAGCACCGCCAAATGTTGGAGATGTAAAAGTTCTAGGGGGGACCAGATGCATTTATGGTGGAGTTGCTTTTTGCTAAGGTCAACTTGGACTAAAGTTGAGGAATTCTTCTCAAACTGGTTAGGACGAAAATTCGACCTCACACCTATGAAGGCATTGTTACACATGTCTTTAGAAGGGCTGAATCAAGTTGAAAAAAATATTTGTGCATTTAATGACAGCAACAAAATTGGACATTGCAAAAAATTGGAAATCAACAAAGTTAACCAAATGGTCTATGGTTAAGACACAGTTCATTTTCCAATGTAGAATGGAAATAGGCATTATGTCATATGTTAACAAAGACAACACCCAGTATTCTCTATAGAATAATATATTCAAGGAAATGGGTGAAGAACGATAAATAAAGAGATTATACAGGCCTATGTGTATGATCATATAGTTGAAGGGTGCCTTGAATCCACAAGGAAGTCACCTACAGATTCTCTAACACCAAGTCCTATGTTAGTATGTTAGTGTTTATGTATGTAACTGTATACATGTTGGTAACGTAATGTAATGGCTTGTCTTAAACTATGTAAGCTTTTTTATATAATATGGGGATGTGATATGTTTCTGCTAACGTGGATGAAGAAAAAAAGAAAATAAAAATTAAATATATAAAAAGGTTTTGATCAATTTGACACTCTAAACTTAACAGTGCCCCTACCAAGCAAAGTAATCTGATGCTATCTTAGAATATACATAGAATCCCTTAGAAAATGATGGGTCTGGAAAGATTAACTCTGTCTCTTGATAGGAGTGCTGAAAAACTGGACCAAATGAGGCATGTTAGATGGTCCTATCCTGAATACTCATGCCACAGGCTAGATGCTGCAGGGATTTAGGATGTCTCTGGAAGTGGGGTGAACAACCTATTTTTCTGGAGATAGAACATAGCAGCAGAAAAGCAACACATGTTTGCAAAATCACCATCCATGTAAGAAATCAGGATGAAAACAGGCTCCAAGTGGATTGTGGCAGCACTGGGGCAAGGCAAACTTAGCCAATAGAGCAAGGCAAAATTAAGGTCAGACTTGTTCCAAAATGTAATGCATGTGGCAGAGAATTATAGTCTAGTGTTCTGGTTTCAGAAACAGAAGAAAGAATGTAGGAGACGGATGAAAGAACACAGTTGTGAAGTAAGAACAAGTGATGGGTGTAACATGCTCATCATATATGCAGAGCAAACTAGAAGGCATGTATTTCATAATGTAGGATGCACTATCCAGCCATCATGTTGCAATGATATCAACAACTTCAAGACTGCTGTCCTGGGACCATGATGGACATTGGGACCAAGTAAGTGCAAGCCCAGGCAGCCTCAATAGTGTCCTGCTTAACGTGGGCACAGTTTATTGTCAGGATTAACTAACACCAAACACACAGTACTTAAGTTAACAAAATAAATTACCAGAAAACTAGGTCATGGAGACAGAGAGTACACGAACAGTAAGACAAGCTAGAGATTAAGGAATACAGAAGTCAGAATAGTCACGGTACAGTCATAGAATAGTCAGAATAGTCACGAGCCAGTGTCAACATACAATAGAACCAATATAATAACTAATTACACAATGGAAACCACGGCAGGGCAGTGATAAATAGCTAATTTGAGTTTGTCTAAGAAGGGCACTGATTGGTCACAGAAAGGCAGCGGGAGGAAAGAGACACACAGACGTGCTGGGAGGAGAAAAGAGACACACAGAGAGGCTGGGATTAGGAAAGAGACACACAATGGAGACAGGGAAAAAGAGACACGCAGAAAGGCCGGAGGGAGAAAAAGAAACACAAAAGGGGCTGGGGAAGAGACACACAAAGGTGCTGGGAGGAAGAGACACACATGGATTTGGGAGCAGAAGAGACATATAAAGGAGTTGAATGAAGTAAAAGACACACAAAAAGGCTGGGGGAAGTAAGAGACACACAATGGGGCTGAGGAGAAAGCATGTTACCCAGAGGGCGAGTAAGAAACACAAGAGGGTGTAATACACACAAAGTGTAAAAAGGAGGACAAGATACACTAAAGGGAGATAAGATAATTGGATAGCCATTCAAAAGGGGGGTTAAGAGACACACAGGTGAAGATGCTTTTAAGAGTGAGGGGCAAAACACATCTTTGCCTGTGTAGCCCAAAATTCTTGCACCGGCCCTGCCCTTATGTGAATAATGCCGTGACTGGTGCAAGCTGAACACAACCCTTTTTCATCCAGTAGAAAAGCACATAGAGTTCGACTGCTTCTCCTGCTGGTCCTACTCTGCCACAGTCTACAAGGTGAATCTTTATAATGTGCTCAGGTTTAAATCGTCGCTCTTTGATGCACTGCATTCTCCATCCAGCAGAGAAGATAGAGTATCAAATCATTCAATTCTACTTCTTAATTTAAAAAAAATAAATTCTTAATTCTTCAGAAAAAAACCAAGGTGGACCTAACTTGTAAATAAAATACCGCTGTACACTATGTATTCAAACACATTGTTTTCCTTAGTGCCACTTTTTTAAATCGTACTGTTTACTTTCTAAGAAATAAAGAAATTTAACTCTCAAAGTGAACTTATATAATACAAGACTCCCTATATTTTAAATAATCGACTAATATTTGAGGCTCTGAAAGTTCATTCTGTTTAGCCAGTATCAGTGATTCAGTTTAAGTGAGTCTAATAGATGAAGCATGTTTAATGTAATTACACATCCACTTCTTCTGATGTAAAATCACGTGAAGCATTACTAATCCCAAAACAGATACCTGCAGGGAGGACTATCAAGAACAGCTGTTTGGACAACAAGAAATGAACCACATGAGCTCTGAGTACTGGAGGCGTGCGGCTGAATGACTCTAGGAGTCGGAATGTGTCCTCCAAGTGCTGAATTTGTAAAGAATTAAACACAGTGGTCTCTATGAAAGTACATTACATTCTAAAATAAATCATCATGCAAACTCATTTATTTTCCTAATAGCATCCAACATATCCATTACTGTATAGGACGTCGGATAAAATGAAAAATGACTGACTTAATTTAGTATAAGACTCTCTGTGTCATAATCATTTTCATTCCTTATTTAAATGTTGGCCCAAATGTGAAAAAGAAAAGAATATAATGAAATTCTTCATAATACTTTATATCAGTGATAAGGTCAATGAGATTAACTTTTTTAGAAGGGGTCACGTCAAATAGTGGGTTCTGTGTTATGTATATGATCTCCCTCATTTATGCTTTGCTACACTTCTCTATTTGCTTTGTCTGCCACATAACACCTATTATTATATTTATCTTCCATATTAAAGGGACACTATAGTTGCCAGAATATCTTCAGCTTAATGTAGTGGTTCTTGAGTCTATATCCTGTCCCTGCATGTGTTTTAATATAATCACTGCCTTTTCAGAGAAAAGGCATTTTTTAAATGTACATCGCTACCTAGTAACACCTCCAGTGGCAGTCACTCAGATGGCCACAAAAGATGCTTTCTGGGTTAGTGCTGCACAGTGTGTAGGACTAGCGTTCAGCAACTTCAAACTCTGCATATTTGGCTGTGCGTGCGAATAGCCTCCCAATGCTATCCTGTAACATAAATCCAATCACAGTCAACATTTCAGTTCATTTCCTGAACTTTCATCAGTCATTTCAGTTCATTTCCTGAACTTTCATCAGTACATATACATACAATATATAAAAAGGCTATTTGCATATAGTTTAATTCTAAGTGTATTTTGATATTAATATATATAATTTTATTAGTGTGTGTGTGTTTATCCTAATGAAAGTCCATTGTATGGACTGAAACTTCAATATTTTTATTTGGTGCCAACACCACTTAAAAGTTAAGTTTTATTTTTAACCACAATCAGAAGTCCTTAGAGTGCTATCATATAAAACGTGTTTATATTCATTGAGATGCAGCACCGGCCTTACATAATTACTACTCTGGAGTGCAGGTGATTGGATATTTATATATATAATTCTAAATGTATGTTATATATTATTTATTTATATTTATATTAATTTATTAATTATTTATTGGGGGACCTGCCTGACAACTGCAAGCCCTATATTTCGCCCTGGAATTTTCCAAAACCTTTATATGGGGGCACTGAACACAAATATGAATGTTTTAGAGCAGTAAAATGTATAGTGACAATGATATCATCAGTGAAAATGAAGTTTTTTGTGAAAAACGCAAAAAAACAAATATGAACACTACTATAGTATATATAGTAAGTGGCTACTATAAGACTGGACATACCCCATTTTAGGTTGTCTACGTTTGCAAATGGTGTGTCATGATGGAAGTAATTCTCATTCCTGTGTGCCATATGGTCTCAATGGCAACATAGGCCCAACAAACCAACCGGGTAAATTTCAGTAAAATGTTTAATGAAAAACTGAAATGGGCAAGCTCTTTATTTGACCCTGTTACTTTCCAAAACACCATGACACCTGTATATGGGGGCATCATTGTACTTGTGGGACATCACAACATACAAATGTGTTTTCTTGCAGTAAAAGCTAAGAGTATTAAAACGTTCACAGTTAAAATGCCATGCAGACACTTTAAAAAAAAAAAAAATGTATTCATATTATATACGTGTTTATATATTAATAGCTAATGTTAAACGGACAAAATTATTTATAATAAGCGTGGGTGCACTCAATATGAAATAGGTACATTATGTTTGAACAGACAAATAGCTAAAATTCTACGTTTTGTTTTAGTTTTGTTTTGGTCAGAACTTGCACAATAGCCTGTACAAAAACTGTGCTTAAGAAAGCAACCATTGCTAAGGATAAATGCAGAAATGCAGAGTGAAGTCAGAAATTCAGTGCTTGTCTGTTCTCATTTGCATGTCAAGCTGTGAACTCTGGGATAGTTTAGGATATTTGATTTTTTTGAACTTCTGTGCCTAAGGAGAAGTTATCAAGGTCCAACTTGAAATATGTAAGTGCTGCACATCTGTAATGTATCTAATTGCACCATGGGGAGTTTGTGTTTGGCCTCACCACAATCAGATTGGTACACACACATTATCTATCTATCTATCCATCCATCTATCCATCCATCTATCTATCTATCTATCTATCCATCCATCCATCCACAACACACACTGTAAAATATGCCATGCAGACATGTAATAAAGCTATTACAGTTTAGGATTGACTTATCTCACTGATGCATTATTTATCCACAAACAGAAGCCTCAGATTGGAGAATGTCTGAACAGGGAAGTGTCTGACATCTATAGAGTGCTGTTTTAAACAGAAACTTCTGTAAATGCAAATTGACGAGATACAATCATGAAAGATAAATGAATAAGAAAGACTTTCAGTGTATTAAACCATATTTCAAGATGTAGAGCTTAAAAATTAACCCTAAATAAATATAAAATGAATATTTTACATGAAAGGTAAGTGACAAGGGCAAACTCATGCATTAAAGACAACCCCTTCAAGAATGTAAATCTAAGCACTGCGGGAACTAAGTGTTAGAAGAGATTAGTATACACGGACAAATAGGAATGTTACAATGGGGATTAATTCAGAAATCACTCACCATGATATCCAGTGTATATCATCTTTTGAAACCCTATCTATTACGATCATGGTTTAGATTATATATACTTGTCCCATGTTTTAAATACAAAGTAACATTAAAATATAATATCAGGAGAGAATCATATAATTGCTAGAGGGATAATAAACTAAAAATACTGAACAAAGCATACCGATATTACAAAATATAAAAAAAAAAAAAAAGTATAACTGGTGGGGAAATAATTTTAAAAATTACAATTGATTATAAATATAATAATTACAAAAAATATGAATGTATATATATATATTGTTTCACTTTATTATTCATGTATTTTAAATCTAGATTTATTCCTTGTTTTGTTTTTCATTTGCGTAATTTGCCATTGAAACTGTATGAATTTAAATTCTAGTTTTAAGGAAATTAACATAGGAATACCTCTATTGTTCTGTACTTCTTAAAGCTCCTAGAGAATTATTTGCATGGAAAAGTTAGCAAGGACGCCCAAGCTGTAGTCACCCTTTGGTGGGCCACTTATTTTTTCTAGTCTTGCCAAATTGGACTTTATCCTATTCATTAGTTCTCCATAAAAGCCGAGAGATTTTCCTGTACTAATTGTTTGTTTTCTTTTGCATTTTTGATTGAATATAAAAAAATTAAGCTGTTAGTCAAAGAGAAGAAATTGAAAATTAAGCTGTTTGGAACCTTACTTAGGTTTGGAAGTTGCTGAAAAGATTTGGCTATATTCCTTCTTCCCCAGCGGGATTTATTGCAATCAACAGAACTGGCTGTCAGTGGGAGCCAGCTAACTCCCTCTCTGATACTTAATACCGAATAATAGTGATGGCACAACTGTTACCTTCAGATAAGGATAAGATTTATCATGCACTGTTTGGCACAGGGTGAGACCAGCCCCCATCTGTACTTTACATTGGCTACTATTTCCACACTGTGTATTTTATTTGTTTGGGTAAATCATACACACTTTAGTGAATACTGCATTAAAGAATGCACTTGCGGTATAATAGTAGCAAACTTTGAAGAAAGAAAAATGCAAAAGTGGATACACACTGTTATTTGACAATAATGTTTTCCTATACCATAGACACGTGCACAATTTTTTTTATCTCTGGAATTTAATAGGTCAGATTGAACCTGGACTGATAGCGATTAAAGTCAATGTCAGCCTTTAAGACTGTGATCAAACGGTAGAAGCATAGTTCAAGGAGAATTCTCCCCAGCAATATGTTAGGAACTATATTACAGTACATAACATAGCTAGTGGATCAGAATGTCACTCAAAAATAACAGTTATTATAAATGTGAGTACTTATCAGATCTAAGGAGTGTTGCTGAGCCATTGCACACAATGGACATAGAAAGGAACACATCCTATATTGTGCATAATATTTATGTTGAAAAAGAGGACAATTAGGGATCACTTGGCTTATTGACTTAAGTAATGCCTCTTCAAGTTCTATTTTTTCAGGGCAGTTGTTTAATTCCTTATTATATCATGTAAATTATATTATAGTACTGGGGAGATTCATCAAAGTGTTCTAAAAAGAGGTTTACATTTTGGGCGATTACCATGGAAGCCTGTGGCACTAGTGGGTACAATTTACTGTTTACCCCTCCTCTTTTACATGTTTGCAACAACTTTTTTTTTTAAAAATTACACTTTCATAACTTCCCCTAACTGGTACCAAGATTCATGTTATTGGTAGCAAAATGTGATAACACAAATGATATATATATATATATATATATGCCAACACAGTTTTGGTGGGGGAAAAAAGTGTGAATGAAAACCCCTTCCACATGAAGTAAATGGATAGTTAATACATTGTTACAGGACCACTATAGTGCCAGGAAAACAAACTCGTTTTCCTGGCACTATAGGGTCATTAGGAGGTTCGTTACTGGCTGGCTATGGAGTCTTGGCATTACTTGTAAAGTACATACCAAAAAAGTTGTTGTGGGGATAAACATGTGCCAGAAAAAAACCTATCTATTGGAGAAGAGACTACAATACCAATGCATACAAAATTTACAAGATTATGCAGCTACTGGGAAATCATCTGTGTTTTGAAATACGTTAAAAGTCTAATCACTCTAAACAGTGCCCCTATTAACATATAACCTAGCTAAGTGGATATTATAGATAATATATCCATGTAAAATATGTGTTTCTTTAAACATACTCTTTAGTCCCAAAAATAATACTCTTTTTTATTAATATATAACACCTTT